ATTATTTTCTCTACAGAACCGGTTTTGCACTTTTTATTTGTTATGTGGCTTTTGGTGGGTATTTCTTATACATTTTATTCTTGAAAACTCATCCGCTGTTGTCTCTGCTTATTATAGTTTCTTGCCTTTCAGAAGCAGGGGAACTTCTGGGTTTTGCATCATATACTGCCCCTTCTTCTCTTTTATCACCTTGTTACTAACCACAGTCCCTACTGTTTGAGGGCTGGCTGTCATGGGTTTTAGAGGCAATATGTTTCTGGAGCCACACCTCATCTCTAGGCCTGTGGGAGTTCTGTTCTCCCACTACACTGGTGGACTCTCTTTACTACAGCCTCTTGAATTCTACTCTTCTCCTCAAAATTCCTCAACCCCACTCTGGGGTTATACTCTCATTTCTTTGTAGTTCCCCAGAAGTTATCAATCAGTCATTAGTCCATTCCATTTTGGCCTTCCCTTGGTTCCTGATGGATGATTTTCTCACTTTTTGGCAGGCACTCTCTCCTGTAATGAATGATCTGATTTGAGGTCTCAAACTTTTTCTCCACATCCTGATTGGTCTGCCCACCTTTTGCTTCCTTTGGTTCATCTGCACTGGTCATATATATAGTTCTCAGCCTTTCCATTTTAGTTGACTATGGGTTCTATGGGCTTTTACTCAGAGGTTAGTTTCTTTAGGCCTATAATTCCACTACTCTATGAATGTTTATCCTCTTCTTGCCCTTTCCTGTGTTGCAGTCTTCCTTCTCCTGATTTTGCTGTCCAGTTCAATCTGTAACTCATTAATTTGTCGGTCTGTCTCATTTCTTATACAGGAAAGGTAGCGTACTTGTCCATCTTCTCTGTCTTTAAACAGTAGGAGCGGTTAATGATGAGTTAGGAAGAGAACTCGGGGATGTTATACTAGGTTACATTTTTCAAAGACATTTACTTGCCAGCAGTTAGTGTTTCTAAGTAAGGTATACTATGTTATTCATTTATTATTACTTTCATGAACAGTATTGGTTATACTATTAAATATGTTAAATGTCATTACTTTTGAATTTTTATTATTATTAATAAGATTGTTTTGTTAGCTTAGAATTTGTAATTAATAGCAGGGGATACCCAACAGATGAAATAATGTATTCTAATCTATATTAGTAGAAATGTGTATTTAATTAGCTATACTGATTGCCAGGTTTATTTTTAGTTTTGTACATAGTGATCAAAAGTTAATATTAATCAAGTTATATCTTTCCTTTTCAGCAGAGCTGTGCTTCTCAAGACATTGATCAAATTAGATTAGTTGAGAAGTGGATGTCCAAAGAAAATTTTACATCTCATTCTTCAGAAGGAAAAAGGTTGGTAATGTAGGAATGTTCATGGGCCTGTTAAGAAGATTAGACAAAGAATATTTAATTATTCATATGAATTTCAATGAATAAGGCTAGATTCTGATCAAGGAAATGTAGAAAACTTCAATTTATAGATTATTTTAATTCACAAACTAAGAACTTCCCTCTTTCCAACTACAATTAAGAATATGAAATGAATACAGCTAAAAGGTTTACAGCATATTACTCTGAGTTATTTTTTACTTGCTACTGAGAGTATTATATATGTATATATATATATATATATGTATATATCTGGTTCAAACTGTTTGTGTTTTCATAAGTATACAAGAAACTGAAGTATGATAAGCCTGAACAGAAGTCAACATCAAAGCAATTGACAAATTTGTTTTGTTCATAGGTATTACAGAAATCTGTATATGAACTCATGAAAATTGTGATATAATTGTCTCAAACTTAATAATATATATTTATAAAACTTTTTAGAGCTATAAATGATCAAACTTGTAATTGATTTAAATTGTTTCATCTATGAGAGAATAACAGTTATTCATATTCTTTAAATTTTTTCATTAATGTTCCTTGTACCAGTTTTATAGAAATATTAAGTTTCTTCATTACCTTTTACAAGGTTTGTAATTGAGTTATATATGAATCTAAAGTTAATTAGTTAATTTCAATAGAATAATCAACTAATCAAAGGTAGTGTTTTCAGTTATTACTGTGTTTTGATTATTCCAACAGTTGACTAACCCATTAGCTATGGGTTCAGTTGATGCAACTGAGTTCCTAACCACAAAGTAACCACCAGAGTTTCCATTCTATGACTTTTAGTGTGTTTATGGCAAGCTTTCAGTAAACATTACAAGTCTTTTGTACACAAAAAATCAGATTTTATAATTAAGTATTTTTACTAAAAATTTGTCTATGAATGTATGGAGTCAGAGTGCCGACTATTCTGAGTGCAAAATGATTTTCGTATTAAGATTAAAAATACTTTTTATCATCTGGAAATTGTCAATTTCATTTGCATAATCTCTAAAACATCCTAAGTAAGTAAAATTTTTTTTCAGTAAAACATTGTATTTTATCATCTATTTTCTTTACTTCACTCTAGCTCTATACACATTTGGTCGATTTGACCGACCTTGTAACCACCATAAAAAATATATGTAAATTACCATTTTCTCAGAATGACTGCAAATTATTACAAAAAGCTACATTGTTTATCCTAAATACCTTAAAGCTCATAATAGTATGTGTCTGTTTATATCTCATTTTATTATTTTATTGCCTTTTGACCTGTGTCTAACTAATAACCCCACCACACTAGTTGTAAATCATTTTGACAAACAAGTAGCTCATGTTACCGTATCAAATTATGTAATGCACAAGATGCTCTTGAGCATATACCTTTGAAGAATATGTATTTATTTTTTATTATCTTTCCTAATCAAACCTTAGCTAACCTAAAAGTTTCTAATTTTTACATTTTAGTCAATTTTATAAATATAATAAATAAATAATATACATGAAATACAAGAAATATATCACCTGTGACCTTTTTTTTTTGCTGTCTATTCCTGATAAAATGTAAGCCTACTTTCTTATACTAATGTTACTGGTACACTAAATGATTTATTTAAACAATGCATCTAAGAACACAGAATAATAGCACACACAAAGCAAACAATGTCTTATAAGTATCATAATGTTTTTTGGTTTCTAACTTTAGCATAAGAGCATGTAAATCTTACCTTAAGCTTGTTGATCTGAAGAGTGTAACAGAAACTTGCAAACTGAAGATGAATTAGACAATCTTCTGTAATGAAAACGATGTAATGTGATAGATTAAAACTTTGGCTTTCTATATAGTGTTACGACAGTGGAAGTCGCATGTCGCTGGTAGCGTCCGTGAGGTTTCTCGAATTATTGGGGAAGACCAAGTTTGTTTTAGACACCCTCTTTTTTTAGTATATAAGCCTGGCAGAGAAAACCAACGAGAAATAATAAAGTGTGTGTTTTGTACTTGTCGAGAGTGAAGTTATCGAGATTGTGAATCGCTGTGATTTATAGCATGTATTATAAAAGTTGTTAAGTTAGTGACGACAAACGTACTGACTGTGGAATTACTGTGTACTAAGAGTTTGTATCGAGAAAGAATAAACTGTTTTAATCAAGAAAGGACTTCTATTGCTGAAGTTCCTCGGAAAGAATTTCTACTGGAAATTAACAAACAAGCAGATGCGCAACAAATTGGTGACAGAAGTGGGATGGAAATGAGAAGTGGTAAATCAAACTATGACTTAGCAGATTTGATGGCAGCAATGCAAGAAAAGCAAAAGAAACAAGAAGAATGAGAAAATAAAAAAGAAAAGAGACTACAGCAGTGGTTGGAGGAGAAAGAAAATAAACAAGAAGAGAGACTACAGCAGTGGTTGAAGGAGAAAGAAAATGAACAAGAAGAGAGACTACAACAGTGCCAAGAAAACCAGCACCAGTGGCAACTAGAAC